AGCGGGTTCATACGATCGGACAGTACGAACCGTCCCTGGCTGCGTCGTGAAACGGGGAAAAGAAAGAGACACCCACGGTTTCATCGAGACGTGCCGTTCGCGTGTGTCGTTCCATCGAACGGATCCAAAGAGTGCGCGAAACGTTTCTCGTGGTCAGGAAGGATCGAAAGCTACCACCGGAGGTGCAGCGGTCGGCCATTGCGCTTTCTTCGTGTCGCCGTTTAGACCGCGCGGTGCTCTGCTATCGGTGTGTGTTACGTTCTAACGGGTGTACAGAAACCATACATGTGACTCCCTTCTCTGCTCCTGTGTTGCCCTACCCCCGTTCAAAAGCATCGTAAGATCGTTTACGCCCGTCTCGTGTTTCACCGAACGACGTGTCGCACCGACTCGTGTCTCCGTGACGCGGGGATACGATACGCTCCGTCGGTAACAGCGTCTCTATATTCTAATTGCTTTTTCTTATACTTTCTCCCTTTTTTTTCGATCCATCAACGCATGCGATCGTTTTACGTCGAACAACCCTGCGATACGATAAAAGAATACTCGTATCGCAGGCATGTGTCTCTTTCGATATATCGAAAGTGCTCGCGTGTTGCCTCGCGTGACGAATTTCGAGACACCGGCGTCTCGTGATCGTACGGTAGCCGAGTCACGTTTCGATCACAAGAATATTTTAGGCGGGCTTCCACTTCAGACCCCCTGCAGTTTGTTACGTTTTCGAGTGTATGTTCGAACAGGTGCTACAGATCTTTAGCGGCATTCGTTTTGATCGATGTATTCTTTGTTACTCTTCCCTGCAGTAAGTCTTTATGCTACATATTTTTGAAAACTTTTGTTGTGATGCACTTTGTAATTAACTATTTTTCACAATTCCATAATTTTCGGATTTCCAAAGTTTCAAAGTGTTAGAATTACCTCGCGACCCACCCAAAATCAAGTTGCGACCCCCCAGTGCATCGGCACCCACACTTTGAGAATTTACCCTAAAACAAGGAGGGGTAAACAGAACCACGAGTAACGCAGCCGGTGTCAAATTAAGCTGTTCGGTCGAAATACACCCGACGTAAGTGTTTCCAGTCTGCGACGGACAAAGACTTCACTCTGTTCCCTCGCGTTTGATTTCTCAATTTGATGCACATGCACAACAGGCATTTTGTACTCGAGGTACTATGTATATACACGCCACTACAATGTGTCTCGATTCGCGGGTTTAGGATCGCTTCGTTCTCTTTTTCAATGAACTCGCCCGCGGTGCCATCGGCGTTAGTTGTCCCTCATTCAATCGTCCCTTTTCCGTTGCCGAGCTTTCCGCGTGCTTCTACCGGCATTTCTTCCCCTTCCTAACCTATTGTCATCGTAAAAATCCGGTTTTGTTTGAAGAACGAGAAAACGGGACTCGGTGTCGTTCTGCGAGATTTTCCTTCTATGGTTAGGTATATCGCGCAATATATTCTTTTAAATTTCCTTTTGCCGAGATTCTTGAATTATCGAATTTCCAAATTCACGAATTTTCAAATTGTAAAGGTTACCTTCGGGTTCCCGCCCAATAGCGCCCGAATTTTTCCGATCTCGACCCGAAGTTCGGGTACCCGACGTATCGGTCTACCCGCGCGTCCATACTTCTTAAGAATTCTCTGACTTGCGTCAGACGGCAAATATAGGTAAACAATTTGCATCTCGACAATGGTAATTCGTTTGAACTTTTCCGTCAGATCACTGGTGGACGTGATCAAGCGTGGAACTATTAAAAATCGAGAATGTGTCGTTATAATGAATCAATAAGGGCTCATGATCGCGGCTGCATGATCGTTCATTGTAAATTGCCAATTTCCTCATGGAGAAGCGTGTATACCACTCTGTGTACTTGCTTCATGCCGCTACCTGTGAGTATTCGAATATTCTTATTTTACAAACTGGAAATTGTGTCAGGTAATTATTGTACGCAATTGTTTTTTCGTTTACAGTCAAGTACTGTGACATTGTCGCGTATCTCGGTGCACGGATAAAAAGGGGTATACTTAGCGTCTCTGTCGTCACGATAGAGTTAATTGTCATATCGAAAATTATGCTACGTGTTCCGTGCGCGTATCATCGGACCTTTTATCATCGTTTCTTGTCGCGTGTTGATCGCTTCTTCCTGTCATACCGAGAGCTGTTCACGTTGATACGGAAGAATTAATTCTCTCGCTTCATCCGTTTTTCCTATCGCGTCATTCCGTGTTTTTTAATTGTTCAACTCTATCTTGCTTCGCTAAAAAGTGTAAAGAACATTTACGCGTCGAGAATTAATTATTTTCGTTCCTTTTGTCGTTAAATCTTGCCTCTTTCGGACGTCAGTGTTTTTGTCCTTCTCTGTCAGTTGCGTTGCCGATATACCGTTTATTACGTATGAAACGCATTACCGACTGACACATCGCGAATGCTTTTAACGGTTATCAATGTTCCCCTTCCCCCCGGTGTATGTGCGTATATATTCTCAGTACGAACTACCACGATTGATCGATTATTGGCAGTTTCTATTTCCGCGTATAATCCAGTCAGTCGACGGAAAACAAATATCATCTCGTAGTTTCTGCTGTTTGACCATTTCTAAACCGTGCCGTGTTTTATTTCTTGATAAACAGATAACGCGACAGTTCTATCAGTGTATTCTGTTCTCAAACTTCCGAAATTTCGAATTAAGATATCGGTATGTTATTATTAAAGAAACGGGATTTTTGTCAGAAATATATAGAGAATTAGGAAAAACGACTCTCCTTCGCGGTGGCGTTATTCGCTTTTTTTTTTACTCGTTATCGTCGCCACTCACCGCTTCCTAATCCGGTTTCGCGAAACCGGAATCGCGTCATCGAGAAAAAGCATTTAAAACCTTTAACGATCCTCTCTCGACTGCTTCTTTTTTCTTCTGGCCGTTACTTAATTTAAAACTCATGTCGAATTATCTGATTCGTTGGCCGGTGTAGTTTAATAGGATTTACCAGTGTGATGCGGCAACTTGTAAAATCCACTTTGATGAGAATCTATCTGGTTTGAATTTAATTCCATCGACTATCCAATGACTGTGCTTCGGAATGAATGAAAGGGTTCGAAGGATGTATAGATTGAAAATGGTTGCTTGATACGTCAACTAGTTTCAAGTGGACTGGAACATACAGGGTGTTTCAAATTAACATATTATTAAATATGAATGGTAATTATGCAAAGTAATTTTATTATTTTTTCATAATTGAATTTTAATTTGTTATGATGTACAGTCGGTAACTTATCTTTTATTTAATGTAGGAATTCTTGAGGAATTAAAATGGCGTCTCTATATTAGCATCCACTGAAGTTACTGCTATTTCTCTCTCTATTGGATCTCAAGATTTCAATCTCTCAGAAACTTATGTTACATGTAAATCACGATGATAATGCAACACTAAGGAACACTTTGAAACGGTACAATGCATTAAACTGAAGCAGAACTTTATATATGTACATACATACATTACCGAGGACATTGACATTGAATCGGTGAGGATCTTTGATCTGTGTAATTACTGTATCCATTACCATATCAATGGATTTATAAATTTACACATATTTTTGGATGATTTCAGTTGGTTTTTCCGAAATATTCCGCCTTGTCCAATTACAAAGGACACCCTGTAGAGTCGGTAGGAGTCCTGGAAAAAAGTTATTAGATTACCCGCTCGGGTATTACGCCGACGGTGCGGTTAGTCGTGTCGTTATCTTTATCCGCGTAACGCACCTGCTGCGCGTACTGTTCACGCACATGTGCGCCTGGTAATTTCGCATGCAGAACGCGCTTAGATAAGTGCGTGTCGTCGTCTTTTCTGCGAGTCAGATAACCGGCAGGAAGCGCGAGTAGCATGGTGATTTCTTCTTTTTTTTTCGAATTAACTCACGACGCAAACGAACGAGAGATATCCTCTTTGTCTCCGAGACCCTCTGACGTTGTTAATGTTTCCTGTTATTTAGGGAGAAAGATATTCGATGAAACAGATTGGCGTAATTGAGATTCAGGCGTCTTGCGTTTGCCTTTGGCAAATATCCTTCCCTCCAGTTCCTGTGATTAATATGTTCGCTGTGGATCGAAGTTTGATCGAAGTTTGAATGAATTATTTGTCAGCACAGATAATTCATGTCAATACTTCTTTATTTTAATTCCAGTTAGATCCATCTTGGTCAAAGGTTAAAAAGGATAATTAAATGTAATGTGGTTCTATGACAGCGAGCATGTTAAAATGGATTCTTCCTATAGTAGAGTTGTGATTTTTGAAAAGTGGTATCGCTTAACGAGAGACGATTGTACCGTTAGCAATAACTGCAAAGCATTACGTATTGTTAGCAACGCCACTCTAGACTCCCGCAACTCCTTTCACGCTAATATAACACGGCCAATCTGAAATCTCATTCCAGAACGTACATCAGGGATCGGTGCAAAGGAGAATACATTAAACGCTTCGGGGAACAGCGACCGGTACGAACGAAAGGAGACTGGAAATTCGTATCTACAAAGGCTTGAAACCACACGACCATCAAGTTCCTTCCTAATACGAGGCTGAACAAAATTACCCGAGTATCAAAAAGGAAGAAACGAAAGCCATCCGCGCTATCAAAGACACGATCCTTTGGGTCGCGAAGGAACATCCGTTGGATGAACAGGGATCTCCCGCGCCGTCGTTCAAAGTGGAGAAGTGAAAGGCTGCGCTAAGGTGCATACGAGGTGTCGTGAATCCGCGGAACACACGTGACATTTTTACGATGGCACGCTAAAGCGGCCTGGGATCTGCTGATCGTTAGCGGCACGATCTCTGTTGGTATTTAAAGAGAGATTCGCAGGAGAGCCCAACAACGCGTCGCACGCGATTACGACTGGTTTTAATGTAAACGCGGCGTACTCTGGCCCCATCACGCTATTCTGAATGCTTCGTTCCGCGCGACTAACCGACTGCTGCATCCCCATGCACCTTCTTCCAATACGTTTCTTGTCCGTGAGGAAAGAATTACGACGTGGATGCACCGCATTGTAAACGATCAAACCTCGGTACGGAAGAATCTGTGTATCGAGGCAAGTGCGCGACGACCAGGTACGTCATCGTTGCGGGACACGTTGAAGAGGTCAACGAACTCGAGTCGACTCGATAAGGTGGTTAAACGAAACGGACGTTCTTGAACGTGGAACTCGAGTCGACTCGATCAGCGACGTCCTTACCGTTGTCCTTGGACTGATCGGTCCTGGGGCTGCAGATGGGAGCAGGTCTGCCGGTGCCCGACAGGGTGATCAACCCCGGAAAACAATACCACCCGTCCGGACTTCCGCTCGTCACGTGCCCTCTTTCCCTTCTTGCTCGTCGCCCGCCAGGCTTCTCGCTCTCCGTTCGGCCGCGTAAACTCGATCAAGCTGGAATTGATGGAGTTGGAGAATATCGTGGCGAACACTGTATACCTCAAAGCGAGAGAAGGTGAGTCTCTTTCATTTTCCTTTATTTCCGACCTTCCATTCCTTTTCACTAACTCCTACCTTTGCAGGTAACCATCTGTGTTGTGTGAATTGTGTGTCTGGCTGTGCTGAAATTGCTTTAGAGATTTAACTATAAATCTCGGTACAATATACCCAATAGATGAATGTCATAAACATGCTAACTCTACAAGTATTTAATTTATTAAATAACTCAACGAGTTTATCTAATATTATATGAATAACAAGAAAAGCAAAGTAACAAGTGGAAAGCTTAAATTGAAAAATCTGGTTATTTATGATTCTCATTGAGAAGCCCCGCTGTGGTCGTACAGAAGAGATTTCATTAAGCATCTGTTGCACAAATACAGTTTCACCATACAAAATCTACGTTCCGTATCATCAACAGCGACATTAAGTTTCCGGTTCTTGCTTCGCGTCTGCTGGCATAATACCATGGTATCTTATATAATTGTCATGTTACGTTACATCTCGTTGCCGTACAATACTCTTCACCATAAATCAATTATACTAAACAGTATAATACAGCAGTTTATTCGTTCATACGAATAAAATATTTTGGAATATATTTTAGATAAATGTTTGGTGACAGAAACTTTAAATTGTTCATTCGAAATACCATGGTGTCTTATATGATTGTCATGTTACGTTACATCTCGTTGCCATACAATACTCTTCACCATAAATCAATTATACTAAACATTATAACACAGCAGTTTATTCGTTCACACGAATAAAATATTTTAGATAAATGTTTGTGATAGAAATTTTACATATGAAATACCCGGGGTAAAATTAGAGAAATATTTGAAATCCTCTGTTTCAGATCCGACGTGGCTTAACCACGCTCGACGAATGTGCGCATAAACTGGAAATTCACATGAAAACGCGGTAATTAGACGAATGATATTTCGTTCTGACAAATGCATTCTGATGTGAATTCTACGGAAACGTGTTCTATAGCGGTTTCATTCGTAACTTTTGTTTTCGTGATAGAAGGGCTCCCGAATTAATTACACTGGATTAACTCTTTACGTGTTCAGCCCGTGATTGTCACGGTCGTCATGGTATCAGACTATCCAAAAATCCTTTGTTTCTGTAATATTATATGGCCAGGAACTTATTTACCATTCCGAAAATTACGTTCCTATTAGAAGTTAGGGTCCAGGCTTAACTCGAACAGTTTACATGCAAATGGCTTAATGAGAACGCGTCCGAGCACAGAACTCTAATTAAACTGCATACTTTACGTTATTACATTCTTGCTGTTTGTATCGCGTGCAATAAACTGCGCCCTGCATTGACACGAGGGTAGCGAGAGTGGCCTTGTAAGTAATTGCAGATTTTACTGTGACCCGAGGCGTCGCCGATAAGGAAACCAAGCTTTCCTTTATCGAAAGGCATACGGAATACTAATTAAACAAACTTCTAACGCGGTCGCCAACTGATTACGAAACTTCTCTGCAACCCCTTGCTTCAGGGGTTTGAGTCAATCTCGAGCTAACTCGCAATGCTGATGGAAGCTGTTTGACGATATCAAATCGTTATATCAGATTCAGTTGACTCCTGGTAGATTGCCGCAGGCGATGCAAGAACCGAAAATTCAATACATGCTACAACGCGTGGCGATACAGTATCCAATGTTATTTAATAGGGTTTAAAGTCGCGATGAAAAATGTTTCTTCTGGTTATTCGATTACATTAAATTCGTGGTACCGGTCACCGATGACCCTTACGGTAGTCAACATGTTAATTAGCATATTGTCGGTGGCGAGGCGAAAGCCTGTTGCGTGGCTCGGTTAGAAGTAGGTAAATGGGTTCGCGTGATGCGCCAACCGACGTCAATGGGCCTGTAATCGCATCGCGCCTCGGTGAACTTTATAAATATACTAGAAGAGCGGACCTCTGCGTTAACACAACGTCTGTAAATTATGTAAGAAGCTCGCAAACTCGTGTACGAGGTTAATTACACCGGGGAGGATGTTGTTCGCGATCCTAGGTCGAAGGACTACAAAAAGCTAGACAAATTGCGACGAATTTAATTAGTCCAAATTGAATTGCGTGCGGAATTGTCTCTCGAGAAATTAAATTAAATCGCGCGGAGTCAAATTGCGTCTCGAATTGCGAATAGAAGCTTCTCTATAATCTGTAGCTAGTCAGAAACTCATTCGGATTGATTAATTTGTAAATGTAGTCGAAGCCACAACGTGCGTTTTAAAGGATGAATGAACCTCGTCGGTTCGACCTTGTGCGGATTATTTTCTGAAATACTTTCGCCATGGCCTCCACGCAGGACCGGTTAAGTTCCTGTTGGACCCGTAGAAGGTTGACAAGCTGTCGACGTTGAAATTTCACCTGACTGCACGCGTGATGGGTGAAACGTGAAACTATGATCGACCAACATGGAAAGAACTTTCTGACGAGCCTTGCATCGACAATCTATGGTGTTACCTTTTGTCGCTTCGAAACTTGTTCTCTTTTAGGGCACATTTATCGCTATCTTCTAGATAAATGCTTCGGAGAATCTACCTAAATACATTTATATAGTTTCTGGAACGATTGACATTTCTAAAGTATCTAAGTTTGAAATTTTAATGAATTTCGAATAACGCGTTTTTCTATTTCAGGCGGTGGTGACAGCAACAAGGGAAAGAGTAAGAAATGGCGGAAGATACTCCAATTTCCACATATCTCCCAATGCATTGGCCTAAAAGATAAGCTAGGTGAGTCACGGATCCTGTTTTTCCATTTTCCGGCTGACAGACGTAACCTTTAATCCTACTCTAATCCATGTACGATAACGACGACCACACTGAGAGGGACATGTGAATATTTTGTTACTCTAACACTAATATACAGGATTAACAGCCTTTTCCTACATCGTCCCTGAAGTTACGTAAAACTGATCTTGATCTGAACCTTCATCCGTCTAACTTCAAGGTCAAATCTCTTTATCCAGAGGATAAAAGATGTGAAGGGAACCGTGTGTTAAAACTAGATTGTTCTCTTGGAAGTTATTTCTGATTGTGCGATTAGGTAAGGTCAGAGAAGTAGAAGCTGGGTAAGAAAATGAGCAAACCAGGAGTTAGGGTAAAATTACTCAAAGTGTCTTTGAAATATTTCAAGATGGGAGATGTTAATATTTAAGAAAGTAAAACGATTTTTACAGTGAATCAGCCGCCTTAGTCGCAAAATTGGGACACGACGCGTAACCCAAACATCTCCCCCGTGAATCCTCGCGGTTAATCAACGCGTGACCCTCCGCCACGACCCCGGTTCTCGTGGATTATTGAATCTCGAGCAAACGACGGCGAATAACGAGAGGAGTAGGAGGTTGGACCCCTTGGCTCGTTCGACCAGATAAGGAGCTATTGGACTCTGTTGTCTCGGTTAATTAAGCCGTGATGCCGCGTCGATGGTTACTTCGTCGCCGAGGGCGGCGAGCAGTTCCTCCTTTCGAGTGCTCGGATCGGGTTTGCTAACACGACTCGATACCGCATGCTCGATTTACCCTTTTCTCGTTAACCCTCGCGTAAACAATCGGACATGAACCTGCAATAAACAAGATTATTTTAAAACTAAAGGGGACGACTTTTTAAATTATGAAAGGAAATCCTACCCTTAATGTTAATGACATAACTGTTTTGTCTGTCCAGATATCAGGTACGGCTATGTGGTGGATCAGCAGCCAATCGGACGTCTGTTGTTCCGGCAATTTTGCCAGGACAAGAAACCGGCCTACCATCGGTACAATCTCTTCTTGGACGCCATCGAGAAGTACGAGATCGAGATGGACGAAAATCGGATCGAATTGGCGAAGGATCTGTTCGAGCAGTACCTGAAGAGCGAAGGTTCGGAGGTCGTGGACATTCTGAACGATTCTTTGATCGCTCAGTGCGAGGAGAGGCTCAGCACCGGAGGGAAGGAGCTGTTCGTCGAAATCGCGCAGACCGTGAAGAACTTCCTGGCCGGCGAGCCTTTTTCAGCTTTCCAAACTAGTTTCTATTTCTATAGGTAATTCCCGAATACCTTGTTACGGGAGCTTTAGGTACCCGTTTATTTGCTACCCGTTATGGTTCATAATTAGAAAGTTAACACCTTGTTGACCTTAGCAGTCGAGGTCCATTTGACACTAAGACGTTAATTAACCCTCGAATAGCGGAAGCCGGGTCAATTATAACTAGAACTCTGTATCAAGTAGACTGTGAAGATTATTCACGCCGCTATCTAAATTCTAGTGAAAGGCTCGATTACTCGAACAAAAGTCTACAACGTAATCAATGAACGCCGCTATCTGAGTTTTAGTGAAAGAGTCAATTGCTCGAGCCTTATCGTGCGAGTTCCCGAGAAGTCAATTGGCAAATATTTGTACGTTGGAACGTTTCCTTCGAAGATTAAACGCAGAACCTTCCTCTACTTGTCTTCGATTTCGAAATTCTTAAACTATTCTCGCTGATATTTAACTTTTCTCCGTAGGTACCTGCAGTGGAAATGGCTGGAAGCACAACCGGTCACCTACAAGACCTTCCGCATGTACAGGGTGCTCGGTAAGGGTGGTTTCGGCGAGGTCTGCGCTTGTCAGGTACGAGCGACGGGCAAAATGTACGCGTGCAAGAAACTGGAAAAGAAGAGAATCAAGAAACGGAAAGGAGAAGCGATGGTATTGATCGAGAAGAACATCCTGCAGAAGATCAATTCGAAGTTCGTGGTCTCGTTGGCCTATGCTTATGAAACGAAGGACGCGTTATGTTTGGTATTGACCATCATGAACGGCGGTGATCTGAAGTTCCACATCTACAACATGGGCGGAGAGCCTGGCTTCGACATTAACCGGGCCAGGTTCTACGCGGCCGAAGTGGTCTGCGGTCTGGAACATCTGCATCTTCAGGGGATCGTGTACAGAGACTGTAAACCGGAGAACATTCTTCTGGACGATCACGGCCACGTGAGGATCTCCGACCTTGGCCTGGCCGTTGAGATCACCGAGGGAGACATGGTGAGAGGAAGAGTGGGCACGGTAGGCTACATGGCTCCGGAAGTGATCGACAATGAGAAGTACACCTTTTCGCCAGATTGGTTCAGCTTTGGCTGTCTTTTGTACGAGATGATAGAAGGCCAGGCGCCGTTTCGCGCGAGAAAGGAGAAGGTGAAGAGGGAAGAGGTGGATAGGAGGGTGAAGGAAGATCAGGAGAGGTATTCGACCAAGTTCACCGAGGAGGCGAAGAGTCTGTGCCAGCAGCTGCTGAAGAAGAGCCCGAAGAGCAGGCTAGGATGCAAGTGCGGCAGGCACGGGGCTAAGGAGGTGAAGCTCCATAGCTTTTTTCAATGCTTGAACTGGAAGAGGGTCGAGGCCGGTATGTGGGAACCGCCGTTTGTGCCGGATGTGAGTAGGTGTCGTTCAAGTCGATTCTATTGTCGTCATAGTTTTCTATCGCGTTCGATTCTCCTGGTACGAAGAATCCTTTTGCGTTTTGAATGAAAAAACTTCAGGATATTGCAAAGTTACTATCTCAGTTTATAACGAAATCATATTTCACCATAGCAAATTAATAGATCCTGAAGTTTTCAAGACCATTTTCGAACATTCCTACTTTGATCGAAAGTTGCATTAGTCATATTCGTTAACGACTTACTGGAATCCAAGTTGCAAAACAACAGTTTCGTAATGAACTTCCGTGATTTTCTTGTTAGAAGCTCATGATCGAGCCATTATATGCAGGAAAATAAAAATCATTGAATAATTTTGCTTGCAGCCTCACGCGGTTTACGCTAAGGACGTGTTAGACATCGAGCAGTTCTCCACGGTGAAAGGTGTTAATTTAGACGCCACGGACGACACATTCTACAGTAAATTCAATACTGGCAGCGTGTCCATCCCATGGCAGAACGAGGTAGTTAAACGTTCCTCGTGTACTATCAGACATCTCAAAGAGCTAAAGTTACTCTCTGACGTTGTAATGCACTCTGCACTCGTAATTCTCTCTGTTCAAAGTGTTGTACGTCAGAAAGAACACGAGTGTTTCTTATCGTTCATCGGAATCCATTTTAGCTCTCAAAGTGAATCTGACCGACTGATCGAGGTTCAAAACGTCTACCGTGTTCGGCGAAAGAGATTCTATTTCCTACATCTGACTTCTATTTTCTGTTCCAGATGATCGAAACCGAATGTTTTAAGGAGCTGAACGTGTTAGGCCCCAATAATACACCGACTCCTGATCTGCTCATCAACCATCCTCCGCCTAATAACGAGAACAGAGGCTGCTTTCCGTTTCGCAGACAGGCATGGCGTTTTATTTTAGATTTAGTAAATGTTTAATGCGTATATAGTACTCTGATATTACGGTAGAGATCTTCTCTTGTTGCCAAGTTTAGACTGTACGCTAATAATATTGGCAGCTCTAGTAATATCGTTTCTTCTCCTAACAAATATCTGCACGTTAATATTCATAACGATTTCCATTACAGAAGAAGCAGAGTGCCCGCACAAGGCAGATACCGTTATCAGAATGCCACCTGCTTGAGCTGTCACAGAGCCAGAACTCGGAGATGCCAGCCAGCTGATCCAAAATGAACGCGAACAATGCGAATCAACCGACGTCGTCGTCCGTGCGACGTCGTCGTTGCGGACGACGCCGACGGGCGCTCAGATGCTGCCTGAAGCTGCTTTAAACAGACGCAGCAACGGCTCCGCGACTTTGGTGCCGATTTTACCGCTGCAACTCGTTGCAACTTGTCCAAAGGTGGCTGAGATCGACGACGGACTCTCGGCGCAAGCACAGATTTCTCAGGTTTTCCCAGAGCACAGAGAAGAACCACTTACGTATTCACGAGGATTCTTAAGCGCGTTTGTCAACGCTGCAACGTCATTATTCTTTTGCAGTAAGAGTGACGTCGTTAAAGATTCAGGAATCTTAAACGATGCTATTCTTACCTGTAAAGGAACGTATAGTAACTATTCAGATACGTAGTTACATATTGAAACGCGTAATTCTCCGAATACGAATCCGATGTTGAATTGCACGTCCGTTAACCTCGTGTGCATTTTCTGTCGACCGTGTGGATGCATATCTTTTGAAGGAGGTTCGAGGAGAAAACCCTTAGTGGTCGTATTGAGGCATTTGTACTTCATTCGAGTATTATCGATTAGGGATTTAAATGTGCATATATTGGATAATATAAAGAAATTCTATAGTAGCGAGTTAAGCGTACAGGAATTGAATTACAATAATTTGAAATAGCAGACTGGCAAGCCGAGTCCGCGGTGTTAATGCATCCATGCGTCTAAGTACATTTACTATCGATACACACACGACGGAATCCGTGGACTGCACCGAGCACACGACTAGCGTTTACACGTTGGCACGTGTGCAATGCTTGCGCGTAAATACGAGTGACGCAATTACGCGCAGTGTGCTAATTAGGGTCGCGCGAAAATGTTTACGCGTCGAAGCTGTAAGTTTGTCTGCACGCTTAGAGAGGAACGCGTTCACCACGTGTATAATAAGTATGTGTACTTAGTGCAGTCGGTGCACACGACCGGTGCGCGTGCATACGCGACGTGATAATGATAACGGTAACCTTATTGAAAAAAGAAAACAACAAATATGCTGTGTACGCGTATGGAAATTGTCGCAGCATCGTTAGACTCAGAGAAATGCTCCGTTGATTCTTCGGGTGTGCCCTGAAGCGAGTTCAAAGACATTCGATTTATGCAGTCTTTTCACTGGTTCATTGTATGTACGCTGCTCAAGCTGCCTGAAGCTGCTTTAAACAGACGCAGCAACGGCTCCGCGACTTTGGTGCCGATTTTACCGCTGCAACTCGTTGCAACTTGTCCAAAGGTGGCTGAGATCGACGACGGACTCTCGGCGCAAGCACAGATTTCTCAGGTTTTCCCAGAGCACAGAGAAGAACCACTTACGTATTCACGAGGATTCTTAAGCGCGTTTGTCAACGCTGCAACGTCATTATTCTTTTGCAGTAAGAGTGACGTCGTTAAAGATTCAGGAATCTTAAACGATGCTATTCTTACCTGTAAAGGAACGTATAGTAACTATTCAGATACGTAGTTACATATTGAAACGCGTAATTCTCCGAATACGAATCCGATGTTGAATTGCACGTCCGTTAACCTCGTGTGCATTTTCTGTCGACCGTGTGGATGCATATCTTTTGAAGGAGGTTCGAGGAGAAAACCCTTAGTGGTCGTATTGAGGCATTTGTACTTCATTCGAGTATTATCGATTAGGGATTTAAATGTGCATATATTGGATAATATAAAGAAATTCTATAGTAGCGAGTTAAGCGTACAGGAATTGAATTACAATAATTTGAAATAGCAGACTGGCAAGCCGAGTCCGCGGTGTTAATGCATCCATGCGTCTAAGTACATTTACTATCGATACACACACGACGGAATCCGTGGACTGCACCGAGCACACGACTAGCGTTTACACGTTGGCACGTGTGCAATGCTTGCGCGTAAATACGAGTGACGCAATTACGCGCAGTGTGCTAATTAGGGTCGCGCGAAAATGTTTACGCGTCGAAGCTGTAAGTTTGTCTGCACGCTTAGAGAGGAACGCGTTCACCACGTGTATAATAAGTATGTGTACTTAGTGCAGTCGGTGCACACGACCGGTGCGCGTGCATACGCGACGTGATAATGATAACGGTAACCTTATTGAAAAAAGAAAACAACAAATATGCTGTGTACGCGTATGGAAATTGTCGCAGCATCGTTAGACTCAGAGAAATGCTCCGTTGATTCTTCGGGTGTGCCCTGAAGCGAGTTCAAAGACATTCGATTTATGCAGTCTTTTCACTGGTTCATTGTATGTACGCTGCTCAAAATGATTACAAGGTGACTTCGATGATATTTGTCGTAGATGAGAGTCTTAAGACTTTCACAACTTGGGTCGTCATTGATACTTTGATGACTACAGGAAATCCGCAATCTTTATTTTATTTGTTTCTATTTACACAGAGTCTATTTATAGTTCCGTTGATGATACTAGTTTTTAAATTGCAATTGGTAACTATTATATTACTTGGAAGCGAAAGATAAGATAACGAGTTACGTATCAAGGTCACAAATTGTATCAAAGGCCGTCAAAATGTTGAAGCTTCCACAGGCCATATTCGGAAGAAAGTTATTTTCAATTATTTATCAACGTTGCATCTAGTTTCTTAGCTAACCAATGTTGGTACTTGTATAAAAAATTTAATCAAAATTATACACTTGGTAGATCTGATGATTTTGAGCAGTACACAAAACGGTCTGAAATTGATTCAAAGTGTTCTTTGTTGATTGACAATCTCCAATAGACTTTCCCAACCGCTCCAAACAATTTCGATAAACCGATTGTTTCGAGTAATCTGTCTAATCAATCCAAGGATACTCTGATCATGAAACCAAACTCGAGATACATGCATTTAGTCTAAGAGGTCTGCGTTTTTGATAATACTTTTACTTTTTGACGATGGTTTACAGTCTGCACGGCGGATAAACGCTTACGTATACAATTATCTTTCTTTCGGTCAGAATCATTTTAAACGGCGTCTAAACCCGTCCTGAGATACGCACAAAATGTTACGCGATTCTTTCTTCTTTTTTTATTCTCTTTATACGAGTGATTCTTTAATCGAACATTTCCAAAGGCCTTTCCTTTAAAGGAATCAATTTTATAGTTGACGAGACGTGTAGTTGGGTGCAATATAGGCTTTTTTTAATTATGAGAAGTGTTAAGGGAAGAAGTTATGTGGGAGTGGCCTAATGTTAGAAGGAGAAGCGTGGGAGGAGCTTGAAGTAATGAGGGGTGTAGAACTTAACTTGGAAGGGGAAATGTGGGAAGAGCTTAATATAAAAGGAGAAGTGTGGGAGGAGCTGGAGTTGGGAAACGTAGGAGGAACCTAATATTGTAAGGCAGTGGGGAAGTATAGCAATGGCCTAAGAACTAAAGAGTACAGGGGTAAAAGAGCCTAATTTATCACAGAGAAGTATAGGAATAATTTAAGGTAGAAAAGTACAGGCGCCTAAATAAGTGGGGGAAGAGTAGGAGGAGCCTAAGCCAGAGGGCGGAGCGTGGGAGGAGTTAGCTCTCCGTTAATTAAAAAAAGCCTACGTTGCATCGTGTCGGAATAGTCGCACATATTCAAGAATATATTTATACAAACTCGAAAGGAATTGTTGCAATTCGTCGATAATATTGATAAAAGAAAGACGATAATGTAAACGAGAATAGGAGGCTGACAGCGTAGCCTGAAATAATGATACTTCGACGAAATCACGTTGCTTGCATTTTACATTAGCCGTTTTCCTTTCTGTTTTTTAAGGATTGTATTATATGTAGTTGCCGAGGCAAATCCGTATATCACGAATGGGCTAGCAAACGAAATCGCGGCATAACTTAAAAACTGATTTGTAAACGATTTCATTCTTAATTAGGATAAAATTATTTTATATTTTTTACCGTAGATTACGTGCCGTTAATCAACGTTCGTCTGACAGCCCATTCGTTAATAATATTTATGTATTATTGCGTATTTAAAGCGAACGGAATAGGTCTCGATAAGAGGTGTCCGACTTAGTAAGTTAAAAATGTATTATTAATCCACGAAATAGCGGTGTAACCCGATGGTAACACGATCATATCTGTCATTCGTTCCGATTCGACCGATCAACGATCGCGACTCGATTTTTGCCGGTCGCCGGTTCATCGGTTGAACCGGGAATTTTTTAATCGCTCACGATACAACTCGTACAAACCGCGGTAGAATTCTCATTGTTCGACCATCAACGACGACGAAACCCGAGGGTTGTTAATTCTACCAATTTTCGGACCGTTCAAAAATCACCGAGACGAATCGCACAAATTTTAATCGTCGTTCCGAAAATTGGTCACCCGCGTAACGATTATAATAATATTCAAGTATTAGAGATAATAGTTGCATTGTACCGAGTCGGATCGCAATTAGTGAATCGTTAGTTGTCGCGGTGGTTCGAGATTAGCAACGTAATTTTGCATTACTCTGTAATAATATGTAGGTTAGCGTTAAACAACTAATTACCAACGGGTGGAGAAAAGGGAGGACGCAGTTGGCGTCGTGGACGTCGAAAAATGATACTTCCGATCGCGAAAGGAATCTCTCAGTGCTTTCAACTGTGATTATTTTTTTTCTCGATGTCCGTTTGCTAATTCTTTAACCCTTTCGACCTCGTGATTAGTTTGGTAACTTCTCAGTTACAATTTTTTAAACTTGGGTCGAACGGGTTAAAAACCTTTCCACGATCTGTCGAATAGTTAATCGTTTGTTGTACAATCAGTTGAAACACTTTGTGAAAATTAACCTTTTCTATTTTAAAATATTCGATGGATCGTAACGAGGCGCGTGTCTTTTGCTCAAAAAAGACGAATAAACTCGTTCGTACAACGTTCTCGTAAAGTACCTCGTATTCTGGCGGGCAAACGTTCAGAAATCGTTTAGTGGTCGTCCAATAGTTTCATAGTGTTCATTTTCGAGTTCTTCGTTTCGAAGAAACATTACATCCTTTTGCCAATCTCTTTTTTATTAGGAATCTAA